CCTTCCTTCCTTCCTTCCTTCCTTCCTTCCTTCCTTCCTTCCTTCCTTCCCTCCTTCCTTCCCTCCTTCCTTCCCTCCTTCCTTCCTTCCTTCCTTCCTTTTCCAGGCTGCAGAACTTTGCCTGTCCTCTCTGAAGTAATTTCTAGCAGCAGAGATAGTGTCTCAGACAATTCCCAAGGAACATTGAGTAAATTTAGTCAGGCTCAACTGTTCCATTTTTCCTAAGTAGTCTTTCCAAGGGCTTTGGGAAGGGGTTGCTGCTATTGCTAACTGGTTGCGCTGGGAACATTGCCTTTGCCTTGGTGCTCTGCTTGTCTCACTCTTGACAAACCAATCTTTCTGTATCTGGAATTACAAGGAGAATAACAACAGTAAGTGTCACCTTACTGGTCTCTTATTCTATCAATTCTTTTACTTCACAGTATAGTATGAAGTTGGCTGTACTTAGCATTCCAGAAACAAATTGTCAACTGCCTTGTGAAGTAAATAAGGATGTGTTAAAAACTTCTCTTCACAAGTGGAGGGATTGAGGCAAAGAGGTTAATTTGCCTAAGGCCAAGGCAGTCATTGGCAGACAAAGTTAGAACTCAAGACATTCCTACGTCCCACATTTTTATTTCAGTACAATTTGCTGGAAAACTTAAAAAGTTAGTTTTAATATTGATGTTTAATTTTTAATCTTTAAGCATAAGGTGATTGCAGTACAATCAATTAATTAATTTAATTAAATGTCTTTAAAGACATTTAATGGAAAATTACTAGATAAAACATCTGTAAATGTTATTAGAAGTAATATTTCAATAAGCACTTTTCTGTATGCTCTACAGACTCGTTTCACAATAAAGTTTGCCTGATTATTTGAGGTATTGCTGAAATGTTCACAAAGATAGACATTGTCTGGAGAAGCTGGCTTCCAAAGATCGGGAGGAATTGTTCAGATGCAATAAAAGCTGTGAAGATGTAAAATAACCTTTAGAAAATTGGTTATTTGTTTGTCTTCATTTCTCAGTGTAGTGGGAAGGTCTCTGAATTTCAGAGAATGCTTTTTCATTTTCTCCTGTGTACACTACTGAAAACACTGACCATGTTCTTTTTGTTTTGCAGACTTGGCTCGCTAAATGGCTGATTGAGCACAATCCCAATAAACCCAGGCTGCAACTTCAGACCACTGAGGCAGAGCCTCAAGAGTGAGAGCTCAGGGAAAATCATCTCAAGCATTCCATGTTAAAGATACGTATTAGCATTTTCCGTGCATTTCTTGGATATGTAATTAATATCTGGAGTAAATATTGTTGTCATAACTCCCTGTATCTTTGAGATAAATAAACATACACTTAGCAAGAGTTGAACAGTTCTGCGAGTTTTTATATTCACGTAGTGATTGTAGGATCATGATAAATTTACTGTGCCAGCTGAATTAAAAAAAAAAAAAAAAAGAAGAGAGAAAAAAAATAGAAAATCATCATTCAGATGTTATTTAACTGTTGATTTCCTTGATTTAGCTGTCTGAGGAAGCTAATTGCACCACTGCAACTTCCCCAATGACATACAGCTGGTCTCCACGCTGCGGAACTGAGACTTGTGGTTCAGCACTTGCTTAGCAGCCACACGTTCCATCAGGAGGGGAGGTATCTGGATGTAACTTAGAAGACAATTGCTGGGTGCACATTAGTGATTTTAGCACTATAATTGCTGATTAAACCACCCAGCTAAGGTTAATCTCAAAGGTGGTCACTTTTCTCTGAGGTAGTTTGGCAGAAGTGTATTTGGAGGAAGATGTTGTATGCATATCTCCCATCTCGCTGGCAAAAGGCACAATGATTATAAAAATCTTTGATTTTCACTAAAAATCCCAAGTGAGTATATTTCTGGCAAATAACAATGGTATGTTCCAATATTTGCCTAAAAGAAAGATGTGTAATCACAACAGCTCACCCTAAAGGATGTTATTTGTGTTCTTCTACTCCTGTTAAAAGGTAAGACAAGTTCTTTTGTTTTCTTCATTGCTGTTTACACTTTGCTCTGTTCTATTGGAGAATTTCAAGGGAATGGATTAGGGGCCTGCACAGCAGTGCAGGATTTCTTTTTATAAAACAATCAACCAGAGTTTTTTTTATTTGATTATTTTATTTAATTAGAGCTGTGCTTACACTTTTAGCTTCAAGCTTTGCATCTTACGGCTTTCCTTGTTAGAATGGAGAAAAAGTAGTTCTCACAGCTTGGAAGTAATAGCATGCTTGACCAATACTAAACAATTTCATAATTTCTTTTATATATGTATAGCTTCATTCCAACTTGAGTAATTACAGAAACATAAGTCATTTGTAGCATTTTTTTTCAGCTCATTGTTTGTCTTCTCAGTGGGAAGAACCAGTATTGCCAGCTGAAAGAATAAACAGTCAGATGAGCAGTCTGAAAATGAGACCTAAAGGAACAATTATGAGTTTTTGCAACTTCCCCCACCAGAAGACAAACAAATGGAACAAAAAACAAATCTCAAATATGAAGAAAAAAATACAAAATGTTTAGAAACAGCAGTAAACTGATCTGTTTATAACTAATTTTGCCTATAATTATTTCTGTCACCTGGCAGTGTCTGATTGCTCCAGTCACAGCATACTTTTGCTTTTAGTTTCTTGCCTGCAAAACCCCAAATTTTCTTCTTTAGAGATGCTAGAAACCAAAATTAATTGCATTTAGGACATGTTCTGATACACCTTTTTAGTTACTGAGGAATTTGTTACATCTGTTGAAGTAATACTGCTTGACAATAAATATCTCCTCTATGTTACTGCTGGAATTCTTTCTCTTTTTTATTTTTTTATTAATTTTGGTGACAGAGCTGTGTTATTTCATAGGTGTGGAAGATTCCAACTTCCATAGCAGTTGTAAGAGTCCTTAGGGTATATCTGGAAGGGCCATGGAATGGGCAAAAACAGTTGATGTTGCCAATGTTTTGTTTTATAACCTGGTCAATATGAAATTTTGGTCATTCAAGAGTACATCTGTTATGGACATCGGTCTCTAATGTTAAAAGTACCGATGTCTACTGCTGATTGTCATCCGCTTCCCGTTTTTCCTGAAGGGAAGACCGAAATACAGAAGTTGCCTTCATCCTTTGGGTGCCCCCTGGACCCAAGGGGTCTGTGCGCCTAGCTCAAGTATTGGCCTCGCTGCGGAGATCTTGAGGAATCACATTAGGAAGCGGGATGCAGATGGCAGGTCAGTGCTGGAATGCAGAGCAACCACAGGCAGCCCCTGGTCCCCTGGGGGAGCTGTGACACCACAGGAGAGGCTTCTGGAGGGAGCGCTGCTGACTTCGCTTTAGGGCTTGAGGTTTTCTTCGGCCCGGGGTGTTACAGGCTTGGCTTATGATACCAATCCATAGCAAAGAAAATGTAGCCTTGGAAAGAATCACAGAGGAGCTAAAGTCATGTCTTGGATGTGGTGTTAGCAAGGTAAACTGCTCTCTGTGGGAGGCAGTGACCCGTTCTCTCTTAATAGAATATTTTTTTCCCTATTTAATTTTATTGGGTATTTTTAATATTGAGCGAGTTCATTTAGTTTTACTACTTAAGGGCTGGAATGGAGCTACATGAGCCTATGTCTATAAAACAGCAGTTCAACCTCTCCCATAATTCTGGTTTTTCAACTGGCTTCATCCAAGAACATTGTTTGTACTGTGCTGCTGTCACCTGTGCTGGCTGTTCTCCTTAGACCTACATAGACTGAGTCTGAAGTATAAGAAGGTTCAGCCTTTCTGTGTCATGAGAGATATTATCTTTAAGAACAGGCCCGTTAAACTGCCAGGAGCCCAGTGTGCACTTCAGAGATGGCAGCAGCCTCAGCCCGAGCCGGTTTCCTTTGGCCTGCACAAGTCGGAGCACTGTAGCAGGCCAAGCCTTGGAAATGAGTCACTGCCCAGACCCCAGCACTTTCATTCAGCAACTTTACCGGGGGGGGGGGCGGGGGGGGGAAAAAAAAAAAAGGAAAATGGAAAGGCGCTTTTTTTCCCCCCTCCCTTCTCTCTCTCTTTTCTCTTATCTAGAGGAAAAAAAAGAGGATTTCTATTTCTTTTTCATTAAAGTTACTGATCTGGATCATTCTTTACACACCAGTGGTCTAAATAAAACTGGTATGTTGGGATAAAGCCAAGCGAAGGTTGTCTCACACCATGTGGAGTGACACGAGCCCTAACCTTATCAGTGCTGTATTAGATTGACTGACTTGATTTAAAGACACAAGGGCCTTAGTTAATTTTCATTTGTTAAGTGAGAGCAGTCAGACCAAGATCAATCATCTTACTCTAGATGGCAAATGTTACTTGTTTTTGTCCATGCCCACCAGCAGTGCCTCCTCAGAAAATACTGTGGCGAAAATACTGTGTAAGTAATTGATTTCTGTTGTTGGAAATACAGAATCTCTTCATGTTAACTGTTAATGGCTTTTTGCAGTGCTGTTTTCTTTTAAATGGCAGTTGGTAGATTGGTTTTTGGGCGGTAGATCAGACTCGAGACCCCAGTGCTGATGAGCTGATGCTCTTGGCTTTACCGCGACTTGGCTCTAAGCAGCGTCGTGAGGGCACCGGGGCCTCACAGGGAACGGGCGGTTTCTCCTCCGCGTTTCTCCTCCCTGGCAGCGACACAGAAGCGCCCACAGTCTGTGGATGGGCCCTCATTAGCAGCTGCCTGCGCTTCCAAAGCTCCGAAGCCTGCATGCGCCCGGGGTGTGGAGTGTGTCAGCAGCGTGACTGATATGCGGAGCGTCCTCGGAGGATGCCTGTCACGTTATTGTCATGCTGCCTCCTGCCAGGTGATCATAGGGACAGTGCCACAAGCGCCCGGGAGGGCCCATTGTGGGGCCCTCAGCATTGCTGTGGGGCGAAAGGGCCGGGGCGAGAAGAAAGCGGCTTGCAGACAAGCTGGTGAATGATACTCTAATAATGATAAGGCTGCAGGATTAGGGCTTCTCTTCAATGTGCTGCTCGGGAGGGCTTCACAGCTGGAGGGAGGCGACGTCTCCTGCAGGGTGCACTGGCCATTGCCTTGCAGGGCACTGTGTTTTCTCCATGCAGTATTTCACAACCTCGCTGTTTAGGTTATGATGGCTCTTAGGGTGAGTCGCTCTTGCTTGGCTTATTCTGAAAGCTGTTTGTATTAAAAAAACGCCTCTCTCCTTTTGGTGGCTTCATTAAAATCATGTTTACTCTGCTTAAAAGTCTTGTGTTTTGAGATGTTTGAGTCAGCGTGGATGGAGCTTCTGTATTACTAGAAAGAAAAACTGCAAGAGGCAGCTGGGTGCAGTCTGCCAGCCCCAGATTGCCTGGATGAGTCGTCACGTATGAGCTCACCCAAAATTCCAGGGAATTTTTATGTGCAAGAACGTAATTTGGCTCTAAATTCCCTTGGCTTTGCTAAACTACTCTGCAAACCACCCATGCTTCTTTATAATCTATTTATAGTCAATGCTTAAGCTCTCATTTCCTTTGCAAGGAGACAGTTGTTTTCTGTTATGTTTCCAGAATCCGCACTGATTGTCAGGTTAGGAAATTCTGCACTTCCAAAAGCAGCATCTTATTGCTGTGCTGACTGTTGTTCCTTATCTCTTCTAGGTGCTGTAAAAGTTGTTTCTTACTGGGTGGCATTCCTGCAGTGCGAATGGCAGCAGTGTTTTGTACGTATTTAGTTTTGTGTCAGGCCTCATTTCTGTATGTGAGAAAATTCCCAGGGGTATTTAACATACGCGTGCGGATAGATCGCCTGCATGCCCCATAAAGTGGTTTACTGGGGGCCAATATAAAGCAGTCATTACAGGCTGAGGTTTAAACTTCTGAGATGAACACAGTCTCTCAATGGCGCTTACTTATTTTTATAATGTGTAATTTAGCAACCGAACCTTGGAAAGTTATGGCATAACAAGGACTCTTTAAAAAACACTGGTCCCAACTGCACTTTTGACTGCTTCCTTGTAAATGCAGAGTGATCCAATTCTCTCATTTAAAGTGAAGAATTAGAACCTGATTAATTTGGGAAGTTACTCAGCTGGTTCATTACACATGCCTCTAAAATGCATAGTTAGATGGTGCCATGGCCCATCCTCTACCTACTTAAAAGAGCTTTGTGTCCCATTTTTCTGGAGCCAGTCTTGGACAAAAATGCTTTCTACTTGCAGCGTGCTGTATGTCATGTACCAGTTTGCTGAGAGGAATTATGCAATGGTATTTTTCCTGGGCAAGAAAAGTTTGCTATTTGAAGACCTCTTTATATCTCTACTTGGAGACCAGCTGCTTCTTTCTCTGGCCTGAGTGACTAGGTAGCCGTGGGATCCTTCTCTGCTAACTTAGCACCTCCAACCAAACTATCCCGGGAGGCTCCTTCAGAACACTCTTTCTTCAGAGGTCTTCCATGTCAATATACTGAATTGACCAACAAAGTTT